CAAATGAGAAGTTCCAGAGGGAATAGTAGAAGGGCTCCTGAGTCAGGATGGGGGAGGGAATTTGGTCAGGTTAGAGGGTTTAAAGAAAAAGTTGGAGATGAGAGTTTCATTTACTTCTGTCGTGGATGACAATGTGGGAAATCAGGACATGTTCAGGCAGAGATTGGCTGGAAAGTCAACCAACAAGGAGACAGTACAATAGATTCCATTGTTTCCTGAGAGGTTGAAGGAGGTGGCCCCTTTGTGGTTCCTTCCAGCTCTCAGACTGTAAGGACCTCATCTTAAATCATTGCAGGTCATCCAGTGGGAGGTTTGGAGGTTTGAAGGTGAAATTTGAATTTTTGCCTTAATTATCGGCAATAACTCAACTAGGGTTGCAGGTCGGGAATTTCCTAAGAGGGTAGGCAGAGGGTAAGACATATAATTATTGGTTTCTGGAAGTAACTCTAGTGACTGTAAGGGTGTTAGGAGTGAGGAAGTTGTGTAGGTGTGGATAGGGGTGGGAAGGGTTAGAGATACAGAGCCAGCCTAAGAGAACTTCAGTCTCTCTAAATTTCTCTGCCCTTTCCACTTCACTTTGCTGTCTCTCATTCTATTCTAATTGTAGGAAGCCTCCAGGTATGGTCACTTGTTCATTCTATCTGAAATTATGTAATTAGTGTAGAAAGAGTGTTTTCAAGAGAATAATCAGAAGCTAGTCACATTTTTGCCACTCTTTCATTTAGTGATCTTAGGTAAATTGCATACACCTATAGGTTCTAGGTTCCCATAAAATAAAGATTTTTATTTTATAAAAATAAAACTGGCTGATTCTTCAGGATCCTTTTAGCTCCTTCTTTTTTTTTTTTTTTTTTTTTTTCAGCTAACCCAGGCTGCCTTAGTCAGTGAACCTTGGATAATTACCAGGTGTGTACCAGCTCTGTACTGGGTCAGCTCTGGGGATATAGAGATTAAACAAACTCAGCTTTTTTCCCTTGAGTTATTCATGACTTGGTGAGGACAACAAGCATGGATTTTGGTTGATATGATGAAATTTGTAATTTGTTGCATGAAGTGCATATAAAATGCTATTACATTTCAGGAATAGCAGTAGTGGGACCTGTTAAATTTAGGGGAAAGATAGAGGTGAGAGGCTTCTGTGATGATTTCATAGAGGAAGTAAGTCAGGTTGGGCCTTGAGGAATGAGTAGGAGTTTGCTTGGTAGACAAGTTGGGACATTTTAGGCAGAGAAAACAGCATAGGCAAAAGCAGGAACATGAAAGCATACTAAGCTGGAATGACATGTTTAGGGAATAGTAGAGACAAAACTAGAAAGGTAGGTGGGGGAAGGGAACAAGTATTTATTGAACATTTATTTTGTGTCAGGCAGCATGCTAGGTGCTTTTATATATGCTTGTTAATTCTCATGATAACTCTGTAAAGTAGGTGGTCTTATTTGTGTTTTACATAAAAGGAAACTGAGGATCAGAAAGTAAAGTAGCTTTCCTAACAGCCCAGAAACAGCCAACGGTTTTCCTCCCTGCTGCTCTAGCAGTTGTTGCTAAAGCAGAGCAAGTGGCCCAGGCTGTATAGTGGGAGTGTCTTTGACATGTTAGAAGGACATCCCTCAGCACATTCAAGATTGCAGCATTCCAGTCCCCTGCCAAAGAAAACCTCCTGGCACAATTTAATTAAAGATCAGATTATCATAACCAGGCGTCAAGGGCATACAGTACTCCCCAGTTTTGGATGGAGTGTTGGTCATGCCAGTTGCAGCTGCTCTGGGCTGTTGGGACTAAGAAGTGCGATTAGTGTATAGAACAGGTTTTATTTCTTCTTCTCGAGGTAATATTAGAGCTTATCTAGTCCATTCCTTTGCCTCTAGAGTCAACAGTGTAGTGTGGTGTAGTGGTTCTATCACCACACAGACCTAATTTCAGGTTCCTGTCTTTACTGCCCACTAGCTGTACGACTCTGAGTGACTGACAGCATCTCTGAAACTTTTCTTCTTCTGACTTCCTTACTGTTATATCTTCAGCATGAAGTGCATAGCTTGTCAAACATTAGGTAATGAATAAATATATGCACAAATGAATAAGAAAAATAATACCAAATAGATTTCCAAGTTTTCTGTAAACTACAAAGTGTGATCTAATGTTAGTGATTATTAAAAACAGCCCCAAATAATGCTAAAATCCTAGTTGTAAAAATGGTTAGTCCTAGAGGTTTTCTGACGAAATGGTTTCTTAGAATTTTAACAACTCTATTAGGTAGTGTGGAGGACTCCCTTAAACTCCAGGTCTCATTGTGTGACTTGGACTAAGCACCAGAATGCATTTATTTTCTCTGGTGCATAATGCCATTTTGTGAACTCAAGGCATCACTGAGTCCTCAGTGCACATGGGTAGCAGATGGTCTCCTCCTCCAAGCAATACCTCTTTTCTCATTGTTATCTCTCCACCGCCTTGTTTTTTATTTAAAAGCCCCGTCTTTTATTTTTAACATGGGGCATTTATTGCACAGTTCTAGAACTGCTTAGAATGGACCATTTTTCTGACTAGTGCTGTATATGGTGAACATAAAAAACCTGCTGTGATCTGCACTGTCCCACTTTTCCAGTCTCCCACTTTAGTCCTTTATGTTGCATTCTGCCACACTGTACTCTCACATTTATATTATTCTGTGCTCTAGATGCATCACCTTTCTCCGTGAAAATCACTCACTCATTTATTGTATCTTTTCTTTGGACCAAGCACTATATACCAATGGCTGGATCTATCCCAGACCAATTAAATCAACGACTCTGGAATTAGAGTTCAAGCATTAATGTTTTCCCCCTCAACATTTTATTAGGAAAAATTTCAAACATTGAAAGAACCTCATAGTGAGTACTTGTGTACCCACTACCGGGATTCTCCTACCATTAACATTTTCATATACTAACTTCATCATATCTATTATATATTGACATGTATATTATATCCCTATGTTCATTAATCTTATTTCTTAAAATGCATTTGAAAATAAATTGCAGATATTAATATACTTCTCCCTGAGTACTTCAGCACTGGTGTAAAACTTCAGCACCAGTGAGCTTTAAGAAGAAAGCTCACAGGGGATTCTAATAGCCTAGAGTTAAAGACCACTAGTC